CAGTGTCACCTGCCAGCCCAGGACACAGGCATGGGAGTCCCAGTGTCACTGCCAGCCCAAAGAGAGGCACAGGAGCCCCAGTGTCACCTGCTTTGGGTTCAGAGCCCCTCAGGAGCCAGCTCTGCAGGGCTGAGTGCTGAGGTCACCCCTAGGAATGGCCAGAGCCATCTCCAGGGAGTTTGAGGGCCTTTAAGGGGGAAAGATTGGCCTTTAAGGGACACAACTCATCCCAGTGGCTTTGGAGGTCTACCAAAGGATGTCAGATACACCCTCAGAGTCTGGAGCCCTTCAGTGGCCTGGTACCCATCTGGAAATGGGTATGAACACCCCAAGGGGTCAGCATTGCCTTGGCACAATGCAGACAGATATTAAAGGAGGGCAGAGTTGGTGCAGCCCTGAAATCCTGTGGGTTTTTTGTCTCTACAACACTTAGATGGAAAAGCCAGGATCTGACACAAACCATGAGGTGCCACCACAGCCAAATGCCCTAGGAGCTCTCTCTCCTGGCAGCCAAAAGCAGGATATAGCCCTGATTAAACTCATTCCTGAGAGCCTCAAGCCCTGCAGGAATGGGCAGTCAGGAAATGCAAGCCAGGATGGCCCTGTGGAAATGGGGAAAGAACACATTCCTAAATCCCAGGGGAGAATCATCTGCATCATTACCTGTTGTCTTTCCTCTGTAAAAGATTTTCATATCCATGATCCCATTCAGTCGGCCGACCAAGACCTCCATCCTGGAGCCGCTGGTTTTGGATGCTCTGAAAATACTCAGCTGTGACCAGTCATTCCAGTAGATCTCATTCTGAAACACAGGCCTGGCTCTCAGTGTGAGCAGAGGCACCTCCAGGGCCGTGCTCATCACTGCCACCTGCACTCATCACCCTAAACACTGCAAAAGAGAGAGTGAAAAGTGTCCCCAGCCCACAGGGGAGAGGAAGAGGAAGGCCTGAGGTGGGATCTGAGCAGGAATGAGAGTGACAGAGGGATCTGCTGAGTGGCAAACCAGTGGGAATGCTGGTCCTGGATTGGGCTGCACTTCCCTGCTGGTTTCAGGGATCTGTGGGAATGTTCCAGGGAAGCAGACAGAGAGACAAAGTGTGCTCCAAACCACATCCCTATCCTCCAAATTCAGGGATTTGTGGGAATGTTTCAGGGAAGCAGAAAGAGGGACAAAGTGTCTGTCATGCCTGCTCCACACCACATTCTTATCCTTCAAATTCAGGGATTTGTGGAAATGTTTCAGGGAAGCAGAAAGAGGGACAAAGTGTCTGTCATGCCTGCTCCACACCACATTCTTATCCTTCAAATTCAGGGATTTGTGGAAATGTTTCAGGGAAGCAGAAAGAGGGACAAAGTGTCTGTCATACCTGCTCCACACCACATTCTTATCCTTCAAATTCAGGGATTTGTGGGAATCTTTCAGGGAAGCAGACAAGGTGCCATGCCTGCTCTAACTCACATCCCTATCCTCCAAATTCAGTGTGCCCCGTGCTCCTCCAGCACCGGCCTCAGAGCCTGCATGCTACAGAAAAAATGACAACGGGGGAAACAAACCTTAAAAACAGCAATGGCATAGGGGTGAGGGAGGCTGTCCAGGATCACAGATCTCTGCATGCCATTGAAATCCACCCTCTCGATCCTGTCCATGTAGGCCTCCGTCCAGTAGATCCAGTGGTCATCCACGGAGATGCCGTTGGGCCAGCGCACGCCCTCCGAGACGATGCACCCAGCCAGGGACCCGTCCATGTCACTCCTGTAGATGCCAGCCCTGGAGTCCCCCCAGTCTGTCCAGAACATCAACCTGGCAGCAGGCAGAGAGGTTACTCCAAACCCACACAGAGCAGCTTGTCACAGACATCTTTTATGAAAATCCTTTCCTTCGGATTTTTCCTCCTGAGAAGCCTCAGGAACAAAATGCAAACAATGGTTATCTGCTGCTGTGGAATGCAACAGGTGCATCTGGGATTGGCTCATGTGGTTGTTTCTAATTAACGGCCAATCACGAGAGTCCAAGCCACAAACCTTTGTTATCATTCTTTTCTATTCTATTCTTAGCCAACCTTCTGATGAAATCCTTTTCTTCTATTCTTTCAGTATAGTTTTAATATAATATATATCATAAAATAATAAATCAAGCCTTCTGAAACATGGAGTCAGACCCTCGTCTCTCCCCTCCACCTGAGCCCCCTGTGAACACGGTGACAGCAGCTCATCAAGGTGACAGCAGCTCATCAAAAGGATCGGGGTTAGCAGAGGCAGAGCGGGGAATGCTCCACATTCCGTGCCTCTTGCCCGACATGCCTTTGAACAGGGAGCTCTGCAATTGTAATGAGCACCACCGGCAGCAGATTTATGAGCAGCACAGAGGCTTTTGAGCTGCAGGCTCTGTGGTGGGAGTGCAGCTGCAGGTTACCTTGCCGTGAACTGCTCTGGTTTGTCAGAGCTTACATTCGCAGCCGAGGCCAAACCCCAGAAAGATGTAACTCAGATTTGGTCCTTGAATTCGAGCACAGCTCAGTTTCTCACACATCACTGCAGCTTCCCCCACTCACCAGACCAGTTTTACGGGCAGGAAAAGTTATTTACCAATGGATATGTATGGGCAGGAAGGAATGAACAGCTGGTGATCTGTGCTCTGAGGGAGCTGGTGCCTTAGGTGGGGACGCAGCGGTGACAGTGGGCTCCACAGGACAGGACTGCGCTGTGCCTGTCCCCAATTTCACCTCACCAAGCTGTGCTCCCTGAGGAGGAGGTGGTGAGGGAGCAGCAGCTTTCCTTGGGAATAGCAGGGAAATACTTGTGGTGTTTCCTTCCTTACCCATCTCGGGGAACCAGAGCCAGGGCTCTGGGCCGCTCCAGTATCGAGGAGTTGAGGACAGTCAGTCTCAGGTCTCCATCTGGATTGGCAACCTAGACCCAAAACCAAAGCCAGGACAGGTGTGTTTGCTACTTGAAATGACACAGAATCTGTGACGGGCAATTATTGCTCCTTAATAATAAAATATGCACTGCCACGGGTGGGCAGAGCTGTACCTCGATTTTGGGAATCCCAGCGTTGACCCAGTAGAGCAGCTGGCTGAGAGGCTCAAAAGCCAAAGCTTCCACTGTTTCCAACCCGGTGCTTATGATTATTTCCTGCCCAGAGCTGCCGTTGAGACAGAGACGCTGGGGAAAAACACAAAAATAATCAGAATAAAAGACGAGGAAGTGCCTGAAGCCTGAAGGTCAGGAGGCAGCCAGCTGGGAGGGGAGGAGCACCAGGACAAACATTTGCATTTCAGGGTGTGGATGCAATACCCGGGCGGCAAGGGGGTGATGCCTCCCTGCTCCCAGCTCACCTGGATGATGTCCAGAGTGACATCAGCCCAGTAGAGGCAGTTGTGCTCGTAGTCAAAATCCAGGGCCACAGCCCCCCTGAGCCCGGCCAGGGGCAGCTCCTCGCTGACGCCCGAGGCCAGATCGTATCGGTGGATGGAGTATCGGGTGGCATAGAGGATGAACTCGTTCTCCTCTGCAACAACAATGCCTTGTTTAGTGGCCGTTCTTGGCTACTCGAGGGGCAAAAGAAAGAAAATAGCAGGTGGTTTTCACCCCTGATTTAGCACCTCCGGGAGGCAAAGAGCTTTTGTCTCAGTGGGATTAGGTTAATGGGAATGTGGTAATAGCCTCACATGGGGCTGGGCACACACTGTGGGCATTGTGTGGTCCAGGAGGAGGAGGAGGCACAGAACCTGACCCGACCCCTTTCGTGCTGCCAATGAGAAACAAAACACTGATCTCTGTCGCAGACATCTTTTATGAAAAATCTTTTCCTTAGGATTTTTCCTCTTGAGAAGCTGGGAGGCCTCAGGAACAAAATGGAAACAACGGTTATCTGCTGCTGTGGAATGCAACAGGTGCATCTGGGATTGGTCTCATGTGGTTGTTTTTAATTAATGGCCAATCACAGTCAGCTGGCTCAGACTCTCTGTCTGAGACACAAGCTTTTGCTATTGATTCTTTCTTATTCTATTCTTAGCCAGCCTTCTGATGAAACCATTCCTTCTATTCTTTTAGTATAGTTTTAATATAATATATACCATAAAATAATAAATCAAGCCTTCTGAAATATGGAGTCAGATCCTCATCTCTTCCCTCATCCTCAGACCCCTGTGAACACGGTCACAGATCTCTTCCTTAAAAATCCCCAACATCAAAAAGAGTGGGAGTGATGCAACTCTGCAAGTCCTCAGGGACACTGGCCCCAGGAAATATCCCAGAGTGGGTTTTGTTTCCCAATGGAGCCCAATCCAGGTAATGGGATCCTGGTCCAGGACAAAGTCTCCTGGGCTTTATCCCAGCACCAGTCCACTCCAATAATGCTATTAATGAGTAGAGCTAATGTCAGTAAGTAACTCTGGCTGTGCATCCCTAATGAGATTATAGGGAGATATGAAACAGATCCTGTACATGAAAGTGTTACCATGGAGCGAGCCAGCACGGATCCCCAGCCCATCTCTGGGAACACAGCACTTCAAAGGCCAGCCCGTGGGGACAGCAGGTTTACTTTGCAATCAGCAGGGCCCTTCTCAGCATGCCCAACACAGCTCTCCAAATAGCTCAAGAGTGCTCAGAGGGGTGAAAAACGTGTCAGGAGTAAAGCTGAGTGCAGAGCTGGCAGGAGTCCCAGCGCAGGGGATGCTTCCCCATGCTGTTCCACACCTGGAATATCTTTTTGCACGCTGAAAAATTTTAGGGCAGTGCAGGGGAGCCTGCTGCTGGTGGGTCTGGCTGCTCTGCTCAATTCCCCAACCCTTCCAGGAGCCCCTGCCCTGCCTGAGGCCCTGGAGCTGCAGCAAGCAGCAATGCTGATCACGCAGCTCGTGACGGCAGATTAAATTAAAGCTCTAATGAGCAGAATGCAAATAACTCTGGCAGCACAGGGGCACGAGACTGCTACAGTGCCTTGTACGTTCCAGAGGAGAAAATAAGGATGGGGAGGGTGAATGCTGGCAGGCAGAGGTGTGAGGGATGAAGGTCTGCCCTGGTCTGGCCCCAGAGTGGCTGCACATGGTGGCTGTCTCAGAGTGGCACTTTCCTGTAACTATGATATTTTCTGAAAAATCCCTTTCCTTAGGATTTTTCCTCCTGAGAAGCTGAAACGCCTCAAGAACAAAATGTAAACAATGGTTATCTGCTGCTGTGGAATGCAACAGGTGCATCTGGGATTGGTCTCATGTGGTTGTTTCTAATTAATGGCCAATCACAGTAAGGTGGCTCGGACAGAGAGCCGAGCCACAAGCCTTTGTTATCATTCTTTCTTCTTCTATTCTTAGCCAGCCTTGTGATGAAATCCTTTCTTTTATTCTTTTAGTATGGTTTTAATATCATATATATAATAAAATAATAAATCAAGCCTTCTGACACATGGAGTGAGATCCTCGTCTCTTCCCTCAGACCCCTGTGAACACGGTCACACCTTCCCAAGGGGACCTTCCCAAGAATGGGGACGTCTTTGAAATAATTCCTCTCTTTCTGGTTGGGTTCAAGCCAGCTACAGCAAGGATGCGCCCAGGGTGAAGGGGTTCCTGCTTGCAGGCAGCCCCTCAGGGCTTCAGAGGGCTCTGGACTGTGAGCAGCCACTGCTCCTGAGCAGAACCCTCAGCAGCTCTGGCCACAGGAGAGGGTGATTTGTAACCCACCCAGGCTCCTGTGTCACAGGTTTTGTCTGAGAGCCCTCTGGGACTCCGTGCCTGGCCCCTGAGGCAGCAGCCAAAGGTTTTATGAAAGGAGCCCTTGTGCCCAGAGCAGCTCCTGGTGCACACACTCACCCGCCAGCGGGCACGGCACCAGCTCCCCCTCCAGCCGCGACTCCACGTCTCCGCCCGTGCAAGTGTCCCCAGAGATCTTCCTGTAGCTGCAACACACAGAGCCAGCCAGTTTATTCGTTTATTCCATGGAAAAAAATCTGTGAACAAACCACCCTGTGCAGCCAGAATAAGCTGTGGTGTTTAATTGCCATGTATGTCCTAACTGCGTTTAACTGCGCTTCGATTAAAATGTTTGTTCTCTGCTACTCTTGTGGGTCTTGTGGTTGTTTGGGGTTTTTTTAATCACCAGTAAGATAAACTGGAATATCAGGTTGCCCTCCCAAGCACAGCACATACCCTCGAGTCTTCCTGTAGGTTGAGCCAACAGGGCAAGGGACTGGTGGGTCATAGGGTTTCCCAGCAAACTCAGGGTCAGGGACACAAACTTCTAAGGATAAGTCATCGCTCAGCTTGAAGCCAAAATCACTGCAAGGAGAAGAAAGATATAAGGAGGGACAGGGAAAAGCAAAAAAATGCAACCATGCTATACCACGATCTATTTTTGCATAGAATTTTTTAAGAACCCAAAGTGACCCTTCGTTTATTCTCAGTATTTAGCTGCACAGAACACCTCCCAGCCAGACAGGGTGTTTCAAGAACACTTTGCAAATCAGCTTTGCCCGTGGCTGGGCAGGCTGGGGAAGGTGAGGCAGAGCTGAGGCAGTGTGCTCTGCAAAGCTGGCTGCCAGCCCCAGTGCTGCTGCTGAGCTGGCTCGGGTCACTGCTCTGTCTGCTGCTGGCAAAATGGGAGCTACAGTGCGGCTGTTCTTTGCAAAATGCTGTGGGGGAGAGAGGTTTTGTCAGTGGGATTCTGTAGGGAGCCCAGGGCTGAATTCTGAGGCAGGATCCCACCAGCCCTGCTCTCAGTCTGCTCATGGTGGGCCAGATTTGGTCTCAGCATCAGGCAGGAGCAGCCTGGTGTGAGCTCCACTGAAAGCCCCAAAAAGCAGTTCCCTTTCTAACCCCTGGCCTTTGCATCAGTTTGCCAGAGCGTGTTTCCTGATCCTGAAAGCAGAGTCAGGACTGTGGGAATTGCAGTCAAAGGGCAATAGCAGGGCCAACTGCACCCCTGTGGCTACAGAATCAAAGATTTTTAGTGGGTCTCTGTCTGTGATGGGAAATTACCCATTCTCCTTTGGAAGGTGATGGATTAACAATACTTCCCCTTTCCGTGGAACCTTTCAGAGGCTCCCCAAAGGCTCTAAAGACATTAATTAAGTCTCATGCCCTGTTATTAATGAAAGGATGTTTTCAGTCTGTTTAGTTTCCTCTCTGCTATAAAATGAAGCGACGACATTCCGAGCTACATAAATTGGATGTTTGCTCACTCGGAGCGATTGGTCACAGATACTTATCTTGGATTTACAATCCAGACTAGAAGAAATTAATTGCTATTTTACCATTCAAAGTCCTCCCTGGTACAAGAGCAGTTGGAGACCATGACAGGCCTGTCAAAGTCTTCCCCATTGAAGCAGGTTGCATGAGGAGTCCTCCTTTTGAAAACGGTTTTATGCCCCAGCAAACACTCATTGCCTCGCTCGTCCGAGGGTGACCACAGCTTGTAGTCATTCTCTGTGCAAGGGACCCCTGAGAGGAGAAACAACGTTGGGGTGCAGAAAGGTGAGAATTTGCAGCATGCCAGGTTTAAAGACAGAGAGATGCTGATGTAGCCAGGAGTGCCAGGCGTGCTGGCATCCAGCCCCACACCACAGGAATGCCTCTTGTCCCAGGGAACCACTGAGGGAATTAGAGGACACAGCCTTAAGCTGTGCCAGAGGAAGTTTAGGTTGGACATCAGGGGAAAATTCTTCACTGAAAGAGGGATTGGGCACTGGAATTACCTGCCCAGGGAGAGGATGGAGTCACCATCCCTGGAGGTGTTTAAAACAAGCCTGGACGTGGCACTCAGTGCCATGGTTTAATTGATGAGGATGTGTTGGGGCTTTTCCAACCAAAAGTCTTTTCCCACCTGGTTCATTCTGTGATTCTGTAATTCCCTCCCCCTCCACCTTCCCCTGGCACAAAACTTCCAGAAAAAGGAAAAAGGAAAGCTCCAGCTGGGAGCGTGCGGCGGCACGCAGTGACAGGAGGGAACAGGCAGCTCCGTGGCAGTGACAGGGAATCTGAATGAACTCGTTCTGGTTACCAAACAGATCTGTTCCCAACAAAATGTCAAGGGAATCGATGATAAATTTTAGTCAAGCAAATTCCTCTGCTGGGTTTAACTGCGCTTTGATTAAAATGCTGCCTCGCAATCAAAGCTGAAATGGGTTATAAAACATTCATAGGCACAAGCCTTCAGAAGGAATTTTTTTTTTTTTTTCTCTTTTCCTTTTCAACAAATTCCTCAGTGAGGAGGGAAGGAATACAGGGAGAGCACACGAGTGCCTTCAGAAGCTGTGTCCACGTGGACATGAGACACCTGGGACAGGGCATGAGGAGATGCCCTCTCTCCAACCTGCAGAGCCACCCCAGAGATGGCTCTGCCACCCATCCCCTTACCCAGCACGTCAGTGGTGTTGATCTGCAGGATCAGCCAGCTGTGGCCATTCTCCTTGTAGGAGCCAAAGATGGTGAAAATGGTGCTCTTCTCCCCAGGCTCGGTCAGGAGCCCGTACACAAACACCGGCTTCTCCGAGAACGTGAACACTTTCCAGGTTTCCCCTTCGTTTGTGCTGTACCTGCACACAAAAGGAGATTGGGAGAGGGGCCAGGGGCATGTCCTGCTGCAGGGCACTCTCTGCCATGGCCAGCCAAGCAGCAGAGCAGCCCCTGTGCCCTGACACTCACTTGAGCTGGTCGGTCTCGGTGCCTTGGGCGATGGCCACCAGAATGCCACCATGGTCACCCCAGGTGTAGTAGTGGGGTCCAGACAGTGCCTGGAAGAGAGACAGTGCTGAGGGGTGATCAGAGCTCTGCTCTGAAGGGAAATGGCTTGGTCAGAAACTCTGCCTGAGCCAAGCTAATGCTTCAGCCAAATCAAGTATCTGGAGGCACCAGAGATTCAAGTGTTTATGGGACACCATCTGCAGATGAGAACAGCCAGCCCATTTCCCCTAAGAGATGTGTGTAAAAGCTGCCCTGAGCCCTGGACTCTGCTCCTCCTGTGCTCTGTGCAGGGAAAGAAACAGTGGAAGAAGCACCATGACACAAAACCAGAGTCCATCACTCCTCCTCTCATTTGTCACCTCTGTGAGGCTTTCCTGACACCCAGCAGTGACTTGTGGCCATCCCAGGACTGCAGAGAACTTGGGTTCCCTCAGGCTGTGGAAGGTCTTCTGAATGTTCAGGGAGAAGCGGGGCCATGGCATGCAGAAACAAGCCCTGGAGACAATTCAGCCATGGCCAGAAGTTTGGATCTCACGCTCACTTACACCTCCAGCACACAATCAGCTTGGCTTTCCCATCCAGGGAGCCCAGAGCACCTTGGGATGAAAACAGGGATTGTGTCCACGCCAAACACTGCTCACAGGACGTGCTGTCACACTTGGGGACATTCAGGGCACTGAAGGCATTGTTTCTTTCTTCTCTGGGCTGTGAAATCACCCCTGTGATCTGCAGAGCCTCCCAGCCAAAGCTGAGCAGGAGGAGCTGTGGTGCTGCTGCTCAGCTCCACTGCTGGGTCATTCTGCACCTCTGCTCACGATAAAAACATCAGTCAGGAGATTTGAATCAGAATGTTTTAACTGCACTCCAGGGAAAACCTGTGGAGCTTTGTTGTTATCATATTTCTAGAGTCCCATACCTTCAGGGTGGTTTTCTCACACACAAGTATTAACAGCAGTGTTGTTCCTGCTTCTTCATCAAAGCCCTTCCAAGGCTCTCCCTGGCCAGCCAGCCAGCCGACCCCCTTTTATCCCAGTTATCTTCATTAGCCACAGCTTTTACTCAATTAAGGACATCACAGCCCATTTAGAACAACTAGGAGTGGGGCAAGGCCACTTATACAATACATAGATTTTACTATGGCTCAAAGGCCACCTATACAATCCATACCAAGATTCAATGGCCACCTATAGAGTTTGGTGGCCAAAAGTCTCTGGTTTTGGATACCCTGCCCTATCAGCTCTCCACAGCTGCTCTCCTGCTGGGTTTTGGAGCCAGGAGCAGCCTCTGAACCGCCTTTGGCATCAGCCAGACCTGTGGTGTGTCCCCAGCCCCAGATCAGACCTCACCCTGACCACGCAGCGCTCACAGGAGGAGAGGAGGCTGCTCAGCTCCCAGGATTAAATGGCTTGCAGATGTTGGAATACCACATTGCACTGGCTGCAGAGTGCACAGGCACACCACAAACACTGCCACAGACCAGAACAGCAGCACACTCCCCATAAACCGAGGGCAGCTCCCATTTCTCTGGAAGGAGCCAGACTCTCTCACACACCAAGTCCTGGCTGTCAGTCCCATCTCAAAGACACCAAATGTGCTGAGGAAATATCCTGCCAGGTGTAAAGGAAAAACAGAGGGAGCTTTTCTGTGTCTGATTCCACCATCCACACCAGAGGTTCGTCTCCAACCAACCCACGCCTGATTCTTCATCTAAAAACCTTTTTCCCTCATTTTAAGGCATTGAGCACCTTCCAGCTCCTGTATTTATATGAAATCACCTTTAATATAACTCATTTATATTGCTGGAAAATTCTTCCTGTTCCCCCACCACGCTGGCTGATCTGGCAGGTGTAAGAGCAGCCTTACCTCTCTCCACCTTGCTCCAGCACTGCTCGAGATATAAACATTGGTTTTCCTTGCCATGTTCTTGCCAACAGAGCCTGGGAGAATGGGAGAAATCATCCTTCTTGAGGAATGCAAAGTGATTGCTTAAAAGGAAGCCAGACACCTCCAAACTATTTTTATCTGTGATTGAGGAGATGATTTTTCACACTACAAATTAATCCCTTCAAAAGCAAATATTTCAAGGACTATTTCAAGTTTGAAAAGCAGATGGGGGAAAAACCCATGGCTACAAACATGATTAAACAAAATGTGTGCTTTCTTCAGTAACAGAGCGAGACAAACAGGAATTTCTGAATCTTAAAGAAGCCCTTCACGGGGATCAGGAAAGAGGATCAGAGCAGAGCAGGTTTCTCACATCTCTGTGCTGCAGTGAAATGTTCCTTCTGTAATTACTGCATGGGGACTGCAGCAGGGAAAGGACAGCAAAATGCACCATTTAATTGCATTTTATAACCTGCTTGTACAAACTAAATACTGCCTGGCAACAACACCCCCCAAGGCAAGGGAAAAGCAGTACCAGTGGCAATGATCAGTCCTGGCGCCGACTCCTTGGAGAGAATGGGCATCCTGCGCAGCTGGAAATTCAGCAGCTGGCTCAGGCGCTGGGCCAGGTGGAGAGAGCAGCCCTGGGACAGCTGGGAAACAGAGCAGTGGATTAACATCCACCCCTCATGCTGTGTATTCCAGTCCTCTCTGCTTGGAAAGGCCAGGAGGGGCTCCCTCATGGTGGCATTGCTGTTTCAACCTCTTTTCATAGAGTGAAAACACCTCAAAGTCACCAAGCCCACCACTAATAAATCCCCAAATGTCATTTTTGGGAGTCTTCTTCCTGTCCCACCACCCCTTGATACCTGGAAGTTGATGTGCTCCCCATAATAGGTCTGTGTGGGGAGCTGGAGCAGCTCCCAGGTGCTGCCCTTGTTGAAGGTGATGATGGAGCACATGTTCTCCAAGATCACCAAGTTTATTATCACTAATAAATCACAACCTCAAATGCCACTTTTGGGGGTCTTTTCCCTGTCCCACCCCCCATGTGGGGGGTTGATGTACTCCCCATAGTGGGTCTGTGTAAGGGTCTGGAGCAGCTCCCAGGTGCCGCCCTTGTTGAAGATGATGACAGAGCGCATGTTCTCCAAACCAAACCCCTCATTAATAAACCACAACCCCAGATGCCACTTTTGGGGGTCTTTTCCCTGTCCCACCCCCCATGTGGGGGGTTGATGTACTCCCCATAGTGGGTCTGTGTGGGGGGCTGGAGCAGCTCCAGGTGCCGCCCTTGT